CGTCTGATGGATGCATATGGATGATTAATTTTATCGTCTTGACTGTCTAATCAGTTGAGGTTCTTTCCTTTCTATTTCGCGGTTGATTTTCGACCGACTAACTGTATCTTGTGATGAATCAAGATAAATGCTTTGCTTGTACTCATTTTCCTTTTATAATGATGAATATCAAAATTTTCACGAAATGTATATATATATATATATATATATATATATATATATATATATATATATATATACTGTGTGTGTGTGTGTGTGTGTGTGTGTGTGTGTGTGTGTGTGTGTGTGTGTGTGTGTGTGTGTGTGTGTGTGTGTGTGTGCACACGCACACACACGCACACACATATATGTGTATGTGTGTGTGTGCATATATATATATATTATATATATATATACACACACAAACACACACACACACACACACCATACACACACACACACACACAACATTTACATATACAAAAGAGAGAGAAAAAGTATATAACGAGAGATATATCTGTGTTTCTATGCGTGTATGTACTTCGTGTAATTGCTTGTACAATCATGGCAATAATGATTTGAAATTGATATGCAATGCATATAATACTGTAAAAGTAATTATTATGCTGCTGATGATGAAAATGACAATCGCAATAACAGTGACAACAATAAAGACATAGATAATAACAACAGGAATGATAACGATAACAAAGTGATAACAACAGCACAAATGCTATTAATAACAACAAAACAACCATAACAAGAATAATGAAAACAATACTGAGGATGAGGATGATAACGGAATCATAAACAGCAAATGACAATGGTAAAAACACAACTATGATAATGAGGCCAGACCAGCTGATAATCGATATATCCAGAATGGGATTAACCTCATCAGCTGACACGTGACTACAGTAACAGTTCAGACTTGCTTGTTTGCGACAGGGTTGAGCGAGTCGACCTGTTCCAACGCCATCTATTGTTTTTTTTGTTTCTTCCTTTGTGATGGTGCAGTGTTTGTCTCTTGGGCTGGTTAGGTAGATTGGCTGGAAAAATATTTCGTCAATTTTGTCCTTTTTTTTTGGGGGGGGATAGAAAATGAGATTTTTTTTTTTTTTTTTTTACTTTGCTTGTTTCTTTGTTCTTGCAGTTAGTGTTATTGTTGTGTGTGGGGGGGGGGATGTGGAAAAGAAAATTATCTTTTTTTTTTTTTTTTTTTTCTTTGTTTGTTCTTGTTGTTCATGTCGTTGTTGTTCCTGTTGTGATGATGACTGGATATTACGTCAGGAATTCGCTCGGAAGTGATAGGACTTTTAATTAAAAAGGAAAACCGTTACTTTAAATGCTTACTCTTCCTAGCCTCGAGCAGGGTCCCTCACGCCGTTTTAGTCTTAATTATCATTACTATTATTAAAAGAACTGAAATTAGTTTTATCATTATAATTATCATCAGTTTAACTGCTAATAACCGTATGATTATTTATGATATTATTACTGTCATTATCATCATTGTTATTATTCTTATTTCATTTATTGTTATCATTACTATTTATTTTTTTATTGTCATCATTGTCATTATACTCATTGCTGCTATTATTGTTATAATCATTATCACTTTGTTATCATTATTTTTATCATCATTATTCTTATCATCATCATCAACAGTATTATTGTTATCAATATTATCATTATTATTATTATATTAAAGTCTTTGGTCTTGTTGGTTACTTTGTTTGTTGGTTTTCAGGATATGAAGTTATGAAAATAGTTTAACTTAGAATCCATTAAATTTTGTTGATTTTTTTATGTTTGCATTAGTTACCCCTATTGCATTGGCAATTGGTAATAGGGGTAACTATTATTATTATTATCTTCACCTTTATCACCTCCGCTCTCTCTCTCTCTCACACAAATGAATGAATAAATAAACAGTAAATAAATAAATGAATAATGAATAATAGATAAAAAAAATGTAAATAATGTATATATATATATATATATATATATATATATATATATAGATATATATATATATATATATATAATATATATATATATATATATATATTATATATATATATATATATATATATATATATATATGTTATTTTTTCCTCGGGTGAATAAAAAAAAAACTTTTTCGGTCAGTTTATACACACAACGGGATTTTCATGTTAGGTTAGATATCATTTTTATCTCATAATTATCCATTTTTATCATCACTGGCGCCGCTGTTACTATTATTGTTATTATAGTTATCATTCTCATCTTTATTGTTCCAGTTTTATTATTTTCGTTATTATCATTATCATTATTATTATTATGATTACTATTTCTGTGTTTATCACTATCGACATTATCATTATTATTAGTAGTAATGTTTTGTTAATATTATAATTGTTATTATCAAAATTATCATTATTGTTATTATTTTCATCGTAGTTATTATCATTATTACTATTATTATTATTATCATATTATTATTATTGTTGCTGTTGCTGTTGTTATTATCATTGTTATCATTAACTTCATTCCTATCATCATCATCATTATTATTATCATTACTATGATTATTATTGTTATAATAATAATAATAAAATATATAATTATTATTATTACTACTATTATTAGCATTATTATTATTTTTATCATTATAATCATTATCATCCTTATCATCATCATACCATCATCCTGATACTATTATTGTTATTATATATTATCATTATCATTATCATTATCATTATTATTATTATTATATTATTATTATTATTATTATTATTATTATTATTATTCATCATTATCATCATAACAATTATCTCATTCTCTTCATTATTATTATCATTATTATTATTATTATTATACATCAATATTATCATTATTATCATAATAACCAATAAGTATGTTATCATTATTATTAGGACTATTATTGTTGTTATTGTCATTATTGTCATTATCATTTTATTTTTATTGTAGTCCTTAATATTTTTTGTCATTATGTTTATCATTGTTATCATTATCATTATTACTATTCATAGCATTATAATATCTAGTACCATTACAGTATGATAAAAAATGATATTGATTATTAAAAGGATTATGACACTAGTAATCATTATCATAATGATTATCGTCATTATAGTATTCATTGTTATTATCATTATTATTTCCATTGTTATCGTTATCATTACTGTCAATATTACTATCGTTAGCATCATCATTATTATCATTATTATTGTTATCATTACTACTATTATTACTGTTGTTAGTGTTATAATCATCATCATCATTTTATTATCATTATCATCAGTACCATTATTCATTTCATTACTATCATCATTTTCATCTTCATAAATCATCATTATCATCATTATAAGTATCATCGTCATTGTTATTATTATCACTGTTATCATTATCATAATGATTATATTTCTTATCATTATACCTTTGTCATCATCATTGTCATTACTATCATCCTAACATCTTTTATTCCATTGTTTTTATTCTCATCATCATCATCATCATTACCTTCATTACTATTAGTATAAGTAATCATCATCATCATCATCATCATCATTACATATCAATGTAATCACCACTATTCGACTAATAGCATCGTCACCATTCTATCATTGTCATTATCATCATAGCATCATTATCTTCTCATCATTATAATCGTCATTATCATCATAGCATCATTATCTTTTCATCATTATAATCATTATCATCATAGTCATCATTATAATCGTCATTATCATCATAGCATCATTATCTTCTCATCATTATAATCATCATCATCATCATCATCCCTATTCCTTAAAAGTCATCACTCTATTCATCAAAACGATGATCATTACTATAATTATCACGATAACCAATAAGTCTAATTATTGAAATAATCATCATTCATATATAATCATATGATTATATATATAATCATCTATATATAATTATATATAATAAATATAATTATATATATATATGATTATATATTAATCATATAATAATATGATTATATATTAATTATATATATATATATATATAATCATTCATATATATATATATATATATATATATATATATATATTATATATATATATATATATATATATTATTTATATCTCCCTCTCTCGTCATCACTTGATTAAAATAATCACATTGTAACCATTTTCATATTCATGACAGCCCTAGAGTCGAAAATTAATGGCATATATCTCTCTGTTCAGCCTGTATTGCATCTTGCAAAATCTTGAAAAAAAAAGACATAGAGTTAAAGTGAGGATATGTTTGAAACTAAGACGAATGGTGATGATAATTACAATAACAGTGATAATGGTAGTGATAACGAAGTAGAAGAGTAATAAAATGAAGTAGATTTTCGAGATGGAAAGATTTAGTTTTAATTCCATTTGTGACAATGGATATTCTCTTGCTGTGACGCTGTCTGTTTTATTTGCTTCTAAATCCCTTTATTTGTTCCGAAATCCCTTTGTTTGATTCTCACTCCCCTTATTTGCTTCTAAATCCTCTTATTTGTCCCGAAATCCCATTGTTTGCTTCTAAATCCCTTAATTTGCTTCTAAATCCTCTTATTTGTTCCCCTTATATACTTCGAAATCCCCTTATTTGCTTCTAAATCCCCTTATTTGTTCCGAAATCCCCTTGCTTCTTAATCCCTTATTTACTTCTAAATCCCCTTATTGTTCCGAAATCCCTTGGTTGCTTCTTAATTATTTGTTCCGAAATTGGTTGCTTCTTAATCCCCTTATTTGCTTCTAAATCCCTTTATTTGCCTCTGAATCCCCTCACTTGCTCTTAAATCCCCTTATTTGCTTCTAAACTCCCTGTGTGCAAGGAATGGCCGGAGTTACCATCCACTGGCAGCGCGCAGGATCGAACGCAGGTCAGCGAGATTACTAGACAAGAACGCTAACTGTCGCACCAAACAGTAATAAGCACATAGACGAGAAGAGCGAGAATAGCAAAATTGAGATTTATAAACGCGTCATATTTTACTTCAGTTCGACGTAACGTGGAGAGCTCGCGCGTTGAAAGCTGTGAGGAGAAACGGGAAATGTGGAGAAACCTTATCTTCATGAGAGGAAGTCACGAGATAAATGAGTCTTCAGAGAGAGTGAAAAAAAGTCAGTGTTAACGGCTTTTTTCGGATTTTTTGTGAGATGTTTAAGTATTCTTATATCGTTGGGTGATACGGTTCGACAATGGAGATTTTGCGATTAATACGGGGATTAATTTGAGACTATTTAGATGGGGTTAGCAGTTGCGTGCGATAAGCGGTTGTATTCAAATGTAAACAGAAAAAATGCCAATAGAAAACGCATTTTAGAAATAAATGTTATATGGCAGCCCTGTAAGGAAAAGTGATAATGTCTCCTGTCTACAAGAAAAAAAAAAAAGAAAAAAATAAACATTACTTTTTCAGCATCAACAAAAAAAGGAATTCATGATTCTTATCTATAAGCTTAGGATGTTACAGCTACGTACTGCATGTTATTACGAACTAGCATGAATTTCTTATGCCATGGGGTATTGTCCTATATGTTGTATTTGTGGCTATCTTTTGTTATGCTACGTCTTTTGTGTGCTTTATTTTATCATTCCATTTCCTGGAAATCATATCAATGTCTTCGTTTGCGTCATTTTATTTTGTTTTCAGATTTTCTTCTTTGTAATAAAGACATTTCTATTTTGCTTTCAGATGCTGTTTTCTTTGATATCTATTTTCCATAGCATCATTACTCTGTTTTTTTCCCTATCCATATATTCTACGTTTCCATACACTCAAGTTTCCATATTCATTATCGTTTCCATTTCTGTTATCATCATTGTTTTTTTTTGTAGTTCTCGAGTTTCGTATTTTCATTTCGTTTTCGCAGTCGTCGGGAGCCTCAAGTGTGGCGAGGGTGTTTTCGGGTGCAGGTCGCGCGACATTCCCTTCGAGGATGTGGCGTTGACGTCGTCCGGTTTCGAGCTTCGGCGCCGCGAGATGGGACATTCATGCCTCTCTTTGTCAGTGAATGAGGTGCCGTCAGCGAGGCACCCGCGTCCTCCTCGCGCCAGGCTGCCGTCCCGAAGGATCCCTGAACGAGCGCTGACGACCCTGACGAGGATGTTGGGGACAAGTGGGAGGTAAGGAAGGATGTCGGGAGGTGAAGGAGGTCCCGGAGGATCCCCTACGGCGTGGAAAGTGGTCGTAAATAAGAGTGGTTTACGTGGTGTCACCAGCGACGGAGAGAGAACGGGAAACATTGGGTAGATAAGACGCTACGAAATTGAGTGTTTTTTTTTTTTTTTTTTCCCGGGGTGTGGCTTTTTTTCAGTCCATATTCATCAACAACGAATGAATAGATACAGAAGAAATTTCATCTTACAAATGCAATCAAATCAAGCAATTAACATGTTTTGCAGCGAAGGAAAATGACAAATGACAAATGACAAACGACAGGGCAGCCAGCAATGGCAGTGGCGGATAGGCAGGAGAGACAGACCCTTAAAGACCGAAATTTTACTCTTCCATCGATTATTTATATATATATATATATATATATATATATATATATATATATATATATATATATATATATATATATATACATTATTCCTTATCTTTTTACGACATTTTAGGAACAGGATTGAGATTACTGGGTCGTACATATAAGCAGATTTTTTTTTCTTCATAAAATGTGATGATTTTCTCTCTGCTTTCTCTGTATGTGAACGTTTCAGTTACGCTGATGAATTGAGGTTATTTAAGTGATTTATTCAAGGTGTCGGATCTAAATATGACGAATAGAGCCTTCAAATGAGTAACTCTTGTATAAAGGAGAAACATTCTTGATTAAGGGACACACATTTTTCAATAGGGGCACATATTCTTGAATAAGGGGCACATATTCTTGATAAGGGCACATATTCTTGAATAAGGGGCACATATTCTTGAATAAGGGCACATATTCTTGAATAAGGGCACATATACTTGAATAAGAACATATTCTTGATAAGGGGCATATTTCTTAATAAGGGGCATATATTCTTAAATAAGGGCACATACTCTTGGGGCACATATTCTTGAATAAGGGGCACATATTCTTGAATAAGGGGCACATATTCTTGATTAAGGGACATTGAATCACGGTCCCCCGGGGCTTGCTTCGTCCAAGGCGGCCCTGATGAATATCCGTTTTTTTATCGTTTAAATTTCCGGTTAAATATATCGTGTAAATATTACATACCGATGACGTGTTAACTTTTTGCGGATAGTCTGACACATGAAATCAGCTGCGAAAGAGGAGGAAGAGGAAAAGTAATAGCAACAGCAGTAATGGTAGTAGTAGTGGCAGTAGTACTAATAGTAGTAGTTGTAGTAGTAGTAGCAGTGGTAGCAGCAGCAGCAATAGTAGCAGTAGTAGTAGTAGTAGTTGCTGTAGTAGTAGTTGTTGTTGTTGTAGGAGTAGTACTAGTAGTAGTAGTTGTTGTAGAAGTAGTAGTAGCAGCAACAGCAGTAGTAGTACTACTACTATTACTTGTAGTAGTTGTATCAGTAGTAATAGTATTAGTAGTAGTAATTGTAGTAGTAGTAGTAGTATTAGCAGCAGTAGTAGTAGTTGTAGTAGTATTACTAGTAGCAGTAGTTGTTGTAGTTGCTGTAGAAGTAAATGTAGTATTAGCAGAATGAGGAGAAGGAGGAAAAGGAGGGAAGGAATAAAGAGAGATGTATGAGGAAAGGGAAAAGGAGGAGGGAGAAGAAATGTAGGAAAAAGGAGAAAAAATTGCAAGAGGAAGGATAAGAATGAGGAGGAAGAAGAGGTGTAGGAGGGATGAGAAAGAAGAATGGAGAAGAAATGGAGGAGGGAGGAGAAATATGAGGAGGAGGAAAAGAAGAAATGTTAGAGGGAGGGGGAAAATGAGGAAGAGGAGGAAGAAATATGAGAAAGGAAAAAATGAGGAGGAGGTAGAGGAAGAAGAGATGTAGGATGAAGAGGAGGAGGAGGAGGAAGGAGGAAGGTGTAGTAGTAGTAGTGATAGGAGGAGATGGAGGAAGAGTTCTATCAGCAGCAGTAGTAGTGTAGGAGGGAGAAGGAAGAAGTGTATGAAGGAGGAGGAGGAAGAGTTAAGGTAGGAGGAGGAAGTAGAGGACAAATAGAAGTATTAGCAGCAATAGCACTCGTGGGAAGGAGAAAGAGGAGGAGGAAGAGAAAGAAGGAGGAGGTGGAGAGAGAAGAAGAAGGCGAAGGAGAGGAGGAATGAAGCGAAGGAGGAGGAGGAATAATAAGAGGAGGAGAAGGAGGCCAATTTGATTAGCCGTAATTAATAATCAAGGTAGACTAAAGGAGTGTATAAATGCATTCCACTCCTCAGTACAGATTTTCCTGAGTATTTTCTGCATTTCCATTCTCTTAATTATTTTTCGATACATGAAAATCACCCTATTGTCGGTCGCACATTGAAAAACGCTTATTGTTTTCGATATCCAGCAATGGAGTTTATAAATATTACACTAGTATTATAATATATTGCCTTTAAACCCATGTCACCGCCTTTCTCCCAATATTGATCTTTTCCTTAAACTTAAAGATATTGGAAACAGATATGTTATACCGCCGGCACCATTAAGTTACCATAGTGCACCATAAGTATATTATCTATATAATATAGTATCAGTAACGAAATTGTGATAACTTTTGGTGAGTTGAAAGCACCATCTTTATCGTCCGAAGGTTTTTAACCCCTCGTGACTCTCCAAGGTTCTGCCACGACCCCAGTGGTAGATTCTGTAGTGTTGAATTCTTCTTAAAGGCGAGACTAAATAACCGGAACGAAGACCCAGATCTATCGAAAAGACCACACGGCAATAACCTCGACAAAATACCCACAGAGTCTCAACAATTTCGAGACAGACCCACATACCCCTTCTTGACCCCCCAGAAAGAGGAAACGCCCACCTCTCCCTAGAAAGACCCTCCCCCGAAATACCCCATCACCCCTCCTCTTGAGAATCACACCCCCTAGGTTAAGATCCGCTGCTACAGACGAGGAGGGCCTCAGGCTGTGTCCACACCAGTGACAAAGCTCAGTAAGAATATTAAGACTGACATGTTGGGTAACAAGTTGTTCAGTCGTTGAGGAACATCGTAGTAGACATGTTGGTAAGGATTTGTTGGACGGCATGTTAGCAGTCCTGTGTGGACAGGTGATGTCAGAGACCTCCCACTAACCAAAAGACCAACTTGGTGCGGACAGTTTTACCAAGTCGACTCTTATTGCTGACATGTCTCTCAACATTGTAACAGATATGTCCCCATACAAATCAGATTTGTATCCTAAAATCTCCTATTGTGTCAACAAGCAATGTCACTGGTGTGGACACAGGCTTAGGTGGAGACAAAATGGAAATATTGGTCTGTTGTTCTGTTGGTTGGCGGGAGGTCTCAGACATCACATCGTCCACACCAGGATTGAGAGAGAGAGAGAGAGAGAGAGAGAGAGAGAGAGAGAGAGAGAGAGAGAGAGAGAGAGAGAGAGAGAGAGAGAGAGAGAGAGAGAGAGAGAGAGAGAGAGAGAGAGAGAGGATGTTCCTCAACGACTCAACTTGTTACCCAACTTGCCAGTCTTAATGTTCCCACCGTGTGTTGTCACTGGTGTGGCCGCACCCTTACTCCTACCGACAACGAGATGGAACAAAGGGGGCTCGCAGCGACAAATCTTAACACACTGTAGCCCAATCTTCTGCTTGTTACTCGCAACAGAGATGGAGCCACAGTAGCAAGCAGAGGTAAATAAAGGCCCTATCACACTAGTCCTTTTTCCGTCAATTTCTGGGGTTCCGTCTGAATTTGAGGCTTTCCGCAAGGATCGTCTGCAAACGGAACGCCTCCCAGACGGTTACGACCGTTTCCGTCTGACTAATTTCCGTGTTGATCTTGTGCTATTAATAAATTAGATAGGATGAGTGAATGTAAACATAAGCTAATATTTTAGAACATTCGTATATGCAATACACATCATCATATTTCTTTAAAATAACGTAATATGTATGAGAATGTTCGTGTGATTCCCGGGACCTCACTCCGAGGGCGCCATGTTTGTTTACATGATTTTCAAACGGAGTCCATTCGGAAACGCATAAAAAAATGACGGAAAAAGTGCTAGTGTGATCGGGCCTTAAGACTGCATGATATCCCGATCACAACCCCCCCCCCTCGACTCCCGCTACCGTATCCAAACCTCATCATAACCCAAAAAACAAAATTGATTATTTTCTCGTAGTTTAAGCGGTTGTTGGTATGATCTATATTAGCATCAATATTCGTGTAGTTTTTCTTGATATCATTTTTGTTTACTAATACTTCTATTTTCATTATTAATATTCATTGTTGTTTTTTATCATTATTATCATCATTATCATTAGATTTATAACTATTATAATTATTGTTATTTTTATAATTGTCATTATTATTGTTGTTTTGTCGTTGTTTTATCTGTTGTTGTTGATAATAATAATTATCCTCCTCTCTCATCATCATCATCATCTTGCTCATTATATTAATCATTATCATTATTGTCATTGCTATTATCATTATCCTCCTCCTTCTTCTCATCATACTGCTCATTATATTAATCATTATCATTTTTTTCATTGCTATTATCATTACAACAATGCTAATAATGGTGAACACCGTCCATTAAATCCGACATCCTCACTACAACCACCGAGTGTAGTGAGTGTCACGCTGTCACAACTTCTGACAAGGATTTTTATTTTTTTTATTTTTTTTTTTTTTTTTATTTTTATTTATTTTTTTTTTTTTTTTTTTTTTTTTTGTGTACGCCACGCGATTTTGGACCTAAAGAAACGGACGCTGATTTCTGAATTGACATTTTACGGCGATAAGTGAGGGTCTCGGTAAAAGGTGGGGAGGGAGGGGGGGGGAGGGGGGGAGGGGGTAGTGATATTTGCATGTAAGTCGACTACAGTTCGAGCTCTTGTTTATTTACTTATTTATTTATTTAAATGTTTTGTTTGATTATTGTTACTTTTTTCTTCTTGTGCGTGTTATATAGCTTTTGTTTCTCTCTTTTTGTTTTGATTTGATTATTATTATATATTATATTATTATTATTATTATTATTATTATTATCATTATTATCATTATCACCATTATCCTATTATCATCATCATTATGTAATTTGGATGTTTTCTTGTGTATCTCTTGCTCTCCAGGTCTTGGAAACAGGTCTCAAAACACACACACACACACACACACACACATACACACATCACACACACACACACACACACACACACACACACACACACACACACACACACACACACACACACACACACACACACACACACACACACACACACACACACACACACACACACACACATACACACACACACACACTTTTTTCTCTCTTTTGTTCCCTTTTCGTTTTTTCGTGTAAGTTCAATTCGCATTTTTCTTTCTCTTTTTCTGTTTTTTTTCCTCATTTTTCTACGATGTTCTCGGTTCGACTTTGGGTCTAATGGCTAAGTTAGGTATTTTTTAATCTATTTATCTATATGTATATATTTTGTGTCCTCTTCGAAAATAACATCATATGATATATTGTATCGTAGATTTAATACTATAAGCATGCACTGTATACGTCATGCATTCATGTGTGTATGTGTGTGTGTGTGTGTGTGTGTGTGTGTGTGTGTGTGTGTGTGTGTGTGTGTGTGTGTGTGTGTGTGTGTGTGTGTGTGTGTGTGTGTGTGTGTGTGTGTGTGTGTGTGTGTGTGTGTGTGTGTGTGTGTGTGTGTGTGTGTGTGTGTGTGTGTGTGTTGTGTGTGTGTGTGTGTGTGTGTGTGTGTGTGTGTGTGTGTGTGTGTGTGTGTGTGTGTGTGTGTGTGTGGTGTGTGTGTGTGTGTGTGTGTGTGTGTGTGTGTGTGTGTGTGTGTGTGTGTGTGTGTGTGTGTGTGTGTGTGTGTGTGTGTGTGTGTGTGTGTGTGTGTGTGTGTGTGAGTGTGTGTGTGTGTGTGTGCGTGTGTGTGTGTGTGTGTGAATGCGCACTGAGAACACTTTCTCAAAAACCTGTAAAGCAAAGAGATAGTCAAGAATGAAACAGAAGTGCACAGCAAATCCTCTCACACTCACTCTCGTAGTACCATGTTCATGCTGAACAACTGAAGGCAACACGAGTCGACTTCAAGACGAAATTTTCAGCCAAAACAATGGATTCTTCCCGAACGAGCGTCGAAATCACACAATACTTTCAGCGAACCGCGTGAAGTTATCCCAAGAGACGTTGTTCCAGGATTATGAACACTGGGGGAAATAAAACGAAGGTGGACCTCGAAAGTGGAGTTTGGAGGCTAAGGACGACGTCGTGTGGGCGTTGAGTACCAAGGTTAGAAATAAAAAAAATATCCACAAACTTCACGAAAGAGAGAGTGAGAATAACCATAGCCTTTAAGAAAGAGAAAGAACCGCCCACAGGAAGAAAGATGGGAGCCACTAGAGAGAGAGAGAGAGAGAGATAGGGAGAGAAAGAGAGAGAGAGAGGGAGAAAAGAGGGAGAGAAAAAAAAGAAAGAGAGAGCGAGAGAGGAAAGAGAAAGAGAGCGAGAGAAAAAAGAGACAGAGAGAGAATGAAAGCGCAACAGAGAAGGATTCAAAGAGGAATCGGTGGAGGTGGAAGATTTGAGGATTGAAAACCAAATTTGGCAAGAACTGAAGATAGAGGATAACGTGAGTACAAAATCTTGATCCTCATTAGCCGGAGGGAAGTTATGAATACGTTAGGATGAAGAAAAAAAAACGCCATTGAAAATACATAGAGGGCTGTGCATAGCCATGGTGATCTCACTAAAAACAGACCGAAAGGTAGATTATTGCTTAAGTAACAAATGTGTCTTAGATATAAAAGGACCGAAAAGTAGATTTTGCGAACGTAAACATGTGTAACAAAACATACCTGAAAAAAAGAAAAAAAAAAAAAAAACGAAAACGGTGACATGGATAAAAGGATAAAAAGTGGTAGACTAAGAACGAATAAAAGTGGACTGAAGGCGAGTCGAAAGGAAAATGGATTTACATCACCAATGTGGCGACGCGACAGGAAGTTGGTATAAAAAGAAAATAATAATAAAAAATAACATAAAAAGAGAGTTGGATTGAGAATATCTCTCTTCTTGTATGTTGCAAGGGAGCAATGTACCCTGTATCTGTTTTTTTTCTTTCTTTCTTTCTTTTTTGTTTATCTTTATCCATTACTTTCAAGATAATAACAGAACCCAAGCTTCCCAAATCTGTTTTTGCTGTTAATAATAATAATGACAACAATAAAAACAATATCTTACCACAAAAATTAATATTCCACCCAAACTA